ATAATAATAATAATAATAATAATAATAATAATAATAATAATAATAATGTGCTCAGGATTCTGAGGATCAGAAGTGGTTCTGTGCTGAAAGCCTCCTCCTTGAGAACTAGCTTTCATAGTACCAGAAGGTGCCATGCAAGCTTCCAAAGGAAGAAAGCAACTGACAGTCCTACCTAGCTATGATACCTCCATACCACAACAATGGCCAGGACGGCATGCAGACCTTGGCGGTAACCAACAGCTCTCTAATTGTCCTTCAGGTTCTCTCAACATGAGGGAAACCATGCCGAGCACTGGAAGCCTAGACACCTAGGCCTACTGAAGTCATGGATCTTGAAGGAGAACCTATATCCACCACCTTACTAAGCCAGCATAATCTCTAACTATATTCTAAAATTTTATCCTTCTATCCACAGGTAAGTGTAGTTCTTGCTGCTCATCAAGGAAATGTCTTTATAACAGATGGACATCAATCCAGAAAACCACACCTTAAAAATGAAGAGTTGTGAAGCTCAGTCACAACAACTGATACATAACTGCACCCAAGGTGTAGGGATTGCTATAGAAGAGGAGGCACAAAGATTCTATGTACCAGAGGAACAGGAAGTTGCTATGAAACTGTGTCTCCTAGAAATGTCAGGGAAGCTACATCCATGAATTTTTACTGAGAAAGGGGAAAGCTCACAAGGCCTCAACCCCAGACAAAGAGCTGCAGGCAACTAAAGAATGCTAAGAACAGGAGCAACAGCATTCCTCAGGGAAGAGCACACCAGCTGCTTACCAGTATCAAATGATCAGCTCTGAAGACATGTATGGCCTGGAGAGATGGCTCAGTGGTTAAGAGCACTGTCTGCCCCTTCCAAGGGTCATTAGTTCAATTCCCGGTGACCACATGGTGGTTCACAACCATCTATGCTGAGAACTGATTCCCTCTTCTGGCAGATGTAAATGCAGACAGAACACTCATATACATAAAATAAATAAATCTTTAAAAAATTTTGTTAAAAAATATATGTACAAGTAACAGTGTACAGACTGAACAGGTTGTGTTTATACATTTAAGAATATATAAACACATATAAATAATAACAAATAAGGGGAAGGAGGCCATGAATTTGAAGGAGGAGAGGTACATGAGAGGGGTTAGAAGGAGGAAAAGGGAGGGGGAAATGATATAATCTCAAAAATATAAATGTGTAAAAATTTTTAAAATAATAAAAAGACATTTCCAAGAACTGAAGAAAAACAAAACAACAATAATATGGAATTCTCATCAACTGTAACAGGAATGCCTGTGGGGGCAGGCAGTTTGAGAAGAATGATGCATAAAGTAGTTAACTTAAAATGTCTGTTAGACATATAAAATGATGATGAAGCCAGGCACAGTGGCACACAGCTTTAATCTCAGCACTCGGAGTAGCAGATAATCTCTGTGAGTTCTAGGCCTGGTCTACAAAGTGAGTCTAGAACACCCATGGCTACACAGAGAAACCCTGTCTCAAAAGAGAGAGAGAGGGCGAGAGAGAGAGAGAAGATGGTGATGATGGATAGGAAGTTGGGTATTCCAATGTGAAGTTTGTGGGAAGCCTAGGAAAGAAATTTGGACATCACTGACATATAAATAGCAACTAGCCATAAGATGTACAGAGAATATCCAGAGAGTGGAAACTAAGAAGAATGAAATTCCACATACTGAGTGCTGGGTGCAAAAGATCAAAAGTAAAAAGACTGCTGAAGACTATCCCCCTAAATGTCAAGGAAATGCAGGTTGGTCAGCCTACTTATGGGCACATACAATGAAGCAGAGTGCATCTTTCCACGCTCCTCTATAGACTTTCAGCCCACTTTTATAATCATCTATCCAGCACAAAGGCTGCACAGAAGCAACTCTTTGGGCCTTATAGTAATTTCTTTTTCTCTATAGCTTATGTCTCCTGCAACTCTAAATATTAGCTTATGTACTCTAATGTAACAATATCATAGAAAGTAAAGTTTTTAGAGGATCCTATCCTTCGACTATTTTTAGATTCAAGGGAAAAACTGGAGTGGCAATCATACTCTAAGTGTTCAGAAATTTTAGCATGTCAAAATTAGAAGTGATCTCAGCAAATAGAACTAAAGCAGACCATTTATAGTTTTTGTTACCATTAGTTATTATTATTATTATCCTCATCATTAATTAGTTATTATTGGTCTCACTATGTAGCCCTGGCTGGCCTGGAGCTTGCCAAGTAAACCAGGTCGGCCTGGAACTTATCTTGTTGGAAGATTAAAGGTGTGAGTCACCACGCCCCCTCCGCCTCTTTGTAAAAGTGAAGCCAAAAAAAAAAAAAAAAGGATAGTATGTTTTCGTTGTCAGTCCACTCAATGCTCTGTGGAGAGGAGTGACGAAAATAAATAACGTTTTCTCCGATGTCCTGTCCTGGGCGTGCAAGGTGTGGTAGCGAGCCGCATCCTACTGATCCCCGGGGCTCAGCAGAGCTGCAGCCGGGCCAATCCGGCGCGCCGCGGGCAGCCCCAAAGGGCCCAGCTGCGCCTGCGCGGGGTCCTTCCTCCGTCTGTCCGCGCCGGGGTCATGGCGGCCGCCGTGGCTCTCCGTGGTCGGGCTCTGCTGTGGGCAGGAGCTGCTTTACTGCGTCAAGGAGGCGTCGGGGAGCTAGTGCGGGTGCGAATTGAAGGGAGCACCCCGGGACGCGACTTCAGTCTCTCTCATTACCGGGTGAGCGCCAGCTGGGCCAGGAGGGCTGTTCATGCCAAGTAGAGACCGGGAAAGGCCGCGCCGTGGGGATGCGGGTGACTGGCGGGGTGGCTGGGTGTTCTCTGAGTGGACACTCGCTCACCCCAGCCTCCCCGGCCGGCAGAACACGGTTATCGTGGAGCGCTGGTGGAAGGTGCCGCTAGCCGGGGAGGGACGGAAGCCGCGCCTGCACCGACGACACCGCGTGTATAAGCTGGTGGAGGACACGAAACACCGGCCCAAGGAGAACCTGGAGCTCATCCTCACGCAGTCTGTGGACGGTAAGGCTTGGACCCAGAGGCTAACCCCCTGGGCTTCACCTGTATGGAAGTCAAGGAAAGTACCGTGACTTGAGATACACGCCTCCAGCACGGAAATTAAAACGTGTGTTCAATACTGTTAATGTGAAAAGAAAGGCCTAAAAGTTTGTACCACAAACATCCTTTGATTGAACAACTCAGTCTACTCCAGTTTTTAAACTAGACTGGTGGCATGTAGTTTAAATGTCCGCGAATCTGCCTATTTCCTCACCCTTAGTGCTAAGGTTATAGACAACATCCAAACTCAGGTCCTCTGCACAGCTGGCACTTTAATGACTGAGCCTTATAACCTGCCCCCGTGAATTGACATTTTTCCTTTTTTTTTTTTTGGTTGTTTTTTTTTTACTACAAAAGTTTATTACAATGTACAATACGCTCCAGGATAACACTTCATTCTAGCTGTAGGTGGCAAAGATGTTATGGCAGGGAATACAGATGTTCAGCAGGCTCCAGGATAGCACTTCATTCTAGCTGTAGGTGGCAAAGATGTTATGGCAGGGGATCCAGATGTTTAAATAGGAATGGAAGAGGGTCACCATCATCACCTCAGATACGAGGAACAGCTTACTTTTTGCCAGATTTCTTAATTCCACCTGTGGCCAGGGGCGCCTTCCCCGCGGCCTTGGCTTTCAGCTCCTCGAGTTTCTTCTGCTCCTCTTTCTGTTTCTGCTTGAAAGCCTCGTCCTCCTCATCCATCTCCTTGGCCTGCCTCTTGGGCTGTTTCAGGGGCTTCTTTTTGCCACCTTCGCGGCCGGACATGGCGCCAACAGCCCCTTCACCAGTCCCGTGAATTGACATTTTTCTAAGGAAGAATTAAAAACTGAGAAAGTAAGAACTGCCTCGTTTTTATGCCCCACCCCACACTTTGAAAATGCAGGAGATGGACACCAAGGCCTATGATTGCTTCGGCAAGACCTTTACCGCTGGACTGTAACCCACACTGATCATCTTTTCCATAGAGACTCCTGCAGCGTTTTCATCTGCTATATTTGTCTTCATTGGCAGAAATTGGAGTCCGGGGTGATCTGGTTTCAGTGACGAAATCCGTGGGTCGTAATAAGCTCCTTTCTCAGGGACTGGCTGTGTATGCATCCCCTGAAAATAAGAAGTTATTTGAAGAGGAGAAATTGGTAAGCTCAAAGCACCAAAGGGTTTGGAGGAATACTTTAAAGTTCCTGCTAGGAATTCCTTTCCTTTTGTTATTTAATTCAGAGATAAAGTAAGAGCAAGAACCCTGAAGCCCAGCCTTTTGCCATCCTAGTTGGACTATTATTAGTGTGGCTCATTTCTTCTACTTAGTTTTATCTTTTTTAGCTGAGACAAGAAGGAAAATTGGAGAAGATCCAGACGAAGGTTGGAGAGATGGTGAGTAGGAAGTTTTTAACTGGTCCCTTATGGAGGTCACCAACCTCCTCCTGAGAGTCTCCCTGATATCCTTCAAGTGTGCTTATTAATGTTACACACAGGATGAGGAAAAGTAATATTGTGACTGTTGTTCCCTGTAGTTGGTATGGGGTCCTCCGAAAATGCTTTGTTTAGTGCAGTGTCCTGGAACTTGCTCTATAGACCAGGCTGCCCTTGAACTCAGAGATCTGCCTTTCTCTGCCTCTGGAGTGCTGGGACTAAAGGCATGCCGCCACCACTGCCCAGCTGCTTTTTTACTTCAAGAAAATGTGCCAAATTTTTAATTAGTTCATTTCTTACATGTGAAACAGTTATCTCCTTGTAGATTTTTTTTGCCAAAAGTGCTTTCGCTTTTGAGGGAGTCCCAAGTCTGGGAATCAGGATCTGTGGGAAAATGTAAGGTGAGGACTCTGCCTTTTGGGAATATTTACAGACAAGTTGAAGAGAATGTAGACACATGAGAAGGTAATCAGCAAAGTAAAAGCAGCAAAGCAGGAGTTACCTGGTGGGTATGGAGTTACTGGGGGGAAGAGAGAATTTTTTTCATATATTATTAAATTAGACCTTTTGAAATTGGTAGGCTTGGGACAATCTAGGAAGTATAAATGAATATTTAAGGTATGTTTGAGGTGGGGGATATATAGTTCAAGCTGACAGATTTCCTGAACTCCATATATAGCCAAGGCCAGTCCTGACATTCTACCCTTATCTACCCTTCAGGTGATGGGATTGTAGATGTGTACCTTGAAGGCCAGTTATACATGCTGGGGATCAGACCCAGGCCTCATATATGTTAGGCACTCATCCACCAACAGCTGTAGGGCATGTTTTGACAATGAAGATGGTCTAGTCTACCTAAAGTTAAGGTTTATATAGTGTAATATTAGAAAGTATTACAGCTGGGCGATTGTGGCTATGGAGGCCTTTAGTTCCAGCATCAGGAGGCAGAGGCAAGTGGATCTCTGTGAGTTCCAGGACAGCCTGGTCTACAAAGAGAGTTCTAGGTCAGCCAGGGCTACACAGAGAAACCCTGTCTGGAAAAAACAAAGAAAAAGAAAAAATATGCAGCTGGAAAGAGGGTTGGGTGTCAAGATGTAAAAAAATATCTTGAATCTTTAAGTAATTTATACTTCATTTTATAAACAGGAAAGAACTAATGATAGAATATGAGTAGAACTGAAGTGCCAGAAATGTGAGGTTAAAAGTCTATTGAAAGTAATTTCATCCTGAGATACACCAGGGACTTTCATAGATGAGCCTAAGTTTATTTTATTTATTAATTTGGGGCAGGGCATATGTGCAGTCCAGAGGACAGTTTGCATGAGTCAGTCTCTTTCCTCCATGTGGGTCCTAGAGTCAAACTGCTCATCATGGTTGGTAGCAGGTACCTTTACCTACTGAGCCATCTTGCCAGCCCTAATCCCGAGTTTAATATACACTATTTCTTTTTTGCCTAGCAACACCAAGAGTAAATGAAATCCCCTATGAAGCCTTGAAAAATACCTTCTTATATATCAGAGTTGAGGGGGAAAATAGAACGTTCTGATTTTTCCCAATAATGTTTGGTTTTCACCTATCTGAGCTGCAGGGCAGAAATTATGCCCTTTTCCTGAACTCCCAGACTCTGTATGACTCTGACTCCTACTGACCCAACCCTTCATAATTGTTTTCAGACAGTGAAATTTCTGAGAAACTGTCATCTAGAAGTGGGAATGAAGAACAATGTCAAATGGGAACTAAACCCTGAAATCGTTGCCCGCCATTTCTTCAAGAATGTGAGTGTTTCCAAACAATAGTATTCCCTTTAGCAAGGAGCCACCTGTGTGTAGGAGACCCAGGATTGAACCTTTTTTTAATAAAATGGTTTTACCACCTGGAGTTGGGAGTTAGTTTTGGTTGGTTTGCGGGAAGGACCTGGAAATGTGGCTCAGAACCAAAAATAAAGACATGGGAAAGGGCAGCTGCATTTATTTTTTATCTCTAGCTCAGAAGAACCTGGGAATATGTGGCTTATTGGGGAATTGTTACTTTGGTGGATGAAGTATTGTTGGTCTCAAGACCTGTTGTTCTATTTGTAAATTCACCACTCTTTCTGAGAAACGAAGACTGAGCCTCTGCTTTCATATCAGGCATCTGTGCCCTCCCCTGGGGTCAGCCAGAATCACTTCCCCAGATGTATTCAATCCTGTGTAGGAAAATCTAACCTGGAGTGTCTTTATGAGGTTGCCCAAAGGCTGGAATTGAAGGGTTTATCTGGTGGTTGGTTGTTTTTCAGCTTGGTGTTGTTGTTGCCCCGCATGTTCTGAAGTTACCAGAGGAACCTATCACTCGGTGGGGCGAGTACTGGTGTGATGTGACTGTGAGTGTTTCCAGGATTTTCTTTTGATTGGGAGAAGAATCAACATGAAGAGCTGGATTGGGTGGTGGTGTTGGTTCTGTACAGCTGATCTCTGTCTATTCCTGTTTTTAACGTGTGTTCAGGTGAATGGAATCGACACTGTGAGAGTTCCCATGTCTGTAGTGCTCTTTCAGAAGCCCAAGACTAAAAGATATAAGCACTGGTTAGCCCAGCAAGCTGCCAAGAACATGGACCCCACCAGCTCCCAGACAGTCTGAATGTTCTCTGCCCCCCAAATCCATAAAGCAGAGTCAGAAGAGCATTGGAGTATAATGGGCCAGTGTGTGAAACTGTCCCATCTCTGAGCAAGATGGATCGTGGAGAGCGTGTGTATTCAGGCTGAACTGTACATACATGTAAGGTTCTCTATGTTTGCCATCTCTGCCCTCAGTGCTCATCACACCCAACTGTATTGCAACATTCTGCAAGCAGGAGCTTTTATAAGCTGAATATCAGTGACTGGCAGTCTTCTTAGCCATTCCTTCTGTTGGAAAGTGCATGCGAACAAGTGAAAGGGCCTGGTCATTGTTCTGCAGTTGCTTTCGTCTCATCCAGATTGTGTCTCATGCAGAAATAAAGGACTTCAGTTGATTTTGAGCAGGTTACCAAGTAAGGTGTCTTGAGCCGTGGAGTCTGGTACAAAGAAGGAAATGACAACCATTCTGAGTCCTACAATTGCCATGAGCAGACTACTCTGCATATAGCCAATATGTCTGCTCTTAAAACTTTCTCTTTTTCCATGTGAGTGACACATGGATTCCACCAAGATCTGAATAAGGCCTAAGGATGATTGACAGAGAAAGTGAAGCTGGGATTTAAAAAGTTTAAAAGGAGTTCTTAACCAGCTGCTGACATTCCATAAATAAACCCTGATTTTTCCAGACTGAGAATAAGCAGGAGATGATTCAAGAATAGATGTCATAGGCTGGGCATGGTGGTAGACACCTTTAATCCCAGCATTCAGGAAGAGAGCCACTGTGGACTAGCTGGAACACAAGCTGTAAGCCTCCCTAATAAATCCTCTTTATGTGCAGTTCTGTTCTTCTAGAGCAACAGTTTGCAACCTGGGGGGTCATATTAGTATCCTGCATATCAAATATTTACATTATGATTCATAACAGTGAAAAAATTACAATTATGAAATAGCAACAAAATAATTTGTGGCTGGAGATCACCACAACATGGGGAACTATTTTAAAGGGTCACAGCATTAGGAAGGCTGAGGACCACTGTCCTAGAACCCTGACTAATAGGATACTTTTCTAGAGACCTGAGTTTGGTTCTCACCACCTACATTAAATAGCTCATAACCACCTAAGACTCTACCTCCAGGGAGTTCTCACCAGTGCCCTTATCTCTGTGGGCACCCACACATTGTTCATACACACAATTAATTTAAAAAAAAAAAAAACTTTTATAAGACTAATGAACACTAAATGCTGCTCGGGACCCAGCCAGCAAAGCTTGAACGTACTTTCATCTAACCAATATGAAGTGTGTCAAAAATCCAATCCAATACTTATTAAAGAAATGACAAGATCTACCCCTCAGCAAAAATTTTCAGTTGTCTGACATCTAATTAAATACCTTCTTAATGAGAAGAAAATGTTGCCCAGAACTAAGAAGTGTATATTTGGTACATGGTTAAATGTTTACAATAGGTTAACTACATATAACAACTCCAGCAAGAATGCAACCCAATTTAAAAAGGCCAAAGGGTGACTTATCCTTGATGAGAATTATGAGTTCAAGGCCATCCTGGGCTACTCCAGGGGACTCGGCCATATATGGAGATAAACACACACACTGTGACACACAAAACCATCCTCGGGGCTGGAGAGGGCTCTGTGGCTGCTCTTCCAGAGGGCCTGGGTTCAATCCCTAGCACTCACATGGCAGCTCACAAACATCTATAACTTTGGTTCCAGAGGATCTAATGCCCTATGCTGGTCTCTACTGACACTAGGAACACACATGATGCACAAACATACATGCAGGCAGAATACCCATACACATTTTTTTTGAGACAGGGTTTCCTTGTGTAGCCTCTGCCTCCCTGAGTGCTAGGACTACAGGCATGTGCCACTGAGCCCAGTTACCCATACACATTTTTTTAAAAGTACTTACTCTCCTTATTTTGACCAGTTTCTAGTCTATATTAACCATTGAAACAGTGAAGTTTCTCTGGCCAAAGCCTTGAGCTGCACTAGATTAAAGGCTTAAACCTAAGTGTGAAATAACAGCCCTAAACAAGATATTTTTGTCACCTCCTCCAAGACTAGGGCACATCAAGGAATAGGGAGGAGAGCAATTGTAAGATTCCAGATGGGTGGGTGGGAAGAGTGCTAGAAATGATACATTCTGGACATAACAGCCATTGTCATGAATAGCAATTATGACATGCATAAAAAGGCAGGCATGGTGGCGCACACATTTCACCCCAGCACTTGGGGCAGAGGCAGGTGATCTCTGAGTTTGGAGCCAGCCTGGTCTCTGTAACCAATTGTAAGCCAGCCAGAGCTATGCTGTGAGATCATGTCTCAAGAGAACTAAGAAGATAAAAGGGTCTGGAGAGATGGCTCAGCAGTTAAGGGTACTGTTCTTGTAGAGGATTGGCGTCTCTGGCCTTCCAGGCACTGAACACAAGTAGACACGTGCAGCAAATACCTATACGTGTAAAAATAGCATTTAAAAAAAATGAGCCTGGAAAGATGGCTCAGTAGTTAGAATACTTGTTGCTCCAGTAGAGGACCCAGGTTCGATTCCCAGCAACCACACAGCTGCTCACAATCATCCATAACTTAAACTCCAGGGAATCTGATGCCTTTTTCTGATCTCTGGTCACAAATGAAGATGGTATGGATACATACATGTAAGCAAAATAATCATACATAAAATATTTTGTTAAAATACACTTCCATGGTCTTTGGGTTTTTTGTTTTATATGTTTGTTTGCTTGCTTTTTGGCCTTTCAAGAAAGGGTTTCTTTGTGTAGCCCTGGCTGTCCTGGAACTCACTTTGTAAACCAGGCTGTCCTCAAACTCAGAGATCTCCATGCCTCTGCCTCTAGAGTGCTGGGACTAGATGGATGTACCACCATGCCCCACTCCATGGTAGTTTTCTTGAAAATTAAAGATGAGAGACAGGGCTGGAAAAATGGCCCAGAGGTTGCTCTTCCAGAGGTCCTGAGTTCATTTCCCAGCAACCACATGGTGGCTCACAACCATCTGTAATGAAATCTGGTGTCCCCTTCTGGCGTGCAGGTGTACATGCAAACACATTATATACATGATAAATCTTTAAAAAAAAATAAAAGATGAGTGACAGAAGATTAGTTGGGAAAAAGAAGGGACCAAAAATAGTGAGAGGGAGACAAGATGGTAACGGGGGGGGGGCTTAAATATCATTTCATGGTATCCATGTGTAAAATTGCCCAAAAGTTAAAATTAAAAACAAACAGGTTTTCAATTAATTTCGCCGGAGAGCATCTGAGTGCGGGAAGTAATGCATAGTTAGAGAGCAAACAGGCAACCCAGAAATGCTGATGAGAGTGGAGCATAGGCTCAGCAAAGTTAATCATTCTCCCCATTTTGGAAAAGCTAATCAAAATAATGGAGGGAAGAGACCTGTTTTCCATTTTGCTTCCCACCTGCTTGAGCTGAGGTGTCAAGCCTTTCTGTTGAGATTTACACCATCAGCTCCCTGAACTCAAGCCTTCAGACTCACTGAATCACAGTCTCCCCAAGGTCGGCAGATGGCAGATAGTGGCATGTTGCAGCCTTTCCAAGTGTAGGAACTGGTTCCTTCACAGCTGGCCACTGTATGTGCAGTTTCTATACCAACAAATCCAACCAAGTTTAGATCGTATGTTTGGGGTAGGAGGAACACTAGAAATTTTCCAAAAAATAAAAATAAAAAAAAAAAAATGAATCTGCAGGCAAACTACACTGAGTCTGTACAAGTGATCTGTGGTGCACCCTGCTACCACCCACCTTTTGACAGGGTCTCCTCAGTGCTCTAGTTGAGCCTTCTTTACTGTGTGTCCATATAGTATGTGCAGGTTTATGTGGTTTTATCTGTACTGAACGTGGGCTGTATGGGCCATCATCCTACGATACAGGATTTATACACTGACAAGAGTCCCACTTGGTGTCGTCTGGGAAACTTGGAAGCTTGGAAGGAATCCAGGACTCACACTAAATGATGCAGAAATGCCAGGACTTCCGTGGCAGTGTACGGTGTGAGAGGTATGGAAATGGCTCAAAAGTAGGTTAGGTATCATGGGTTCGTGTAAGCCTGGCACCCAGAAGACTAGGGCAGGAGGTTGGTAGTTAAAGGACAATCTGGGCTACATATTAAGATTCTGTCTCAGAAAAAGAAATAGAAGTGGGCACACGTAATAGATTCAGGAGAGTCCTCTGAGAAGGGGCTCTCAGTAGAGGAGTTGTCTTGGCTGTTACTGGATGTGAAGGGCCTAGCCCACTGTGGCAGCACCACTCTCTGGGTAGGAGGTTCTGGTCTGTACAGGAAAACGAAGCACAAGCCTAGAGATCCCCAGGGGTTGCTGGCCGGCCAGCCAGCCTAGCTGACGTGGCGAGTCCTACATTTAGTCGGGGACACTGTCTCAAAAGATGAGGTGGAGAGCAACGGAGGAAGGAACCACGTCGGCCTCCGGCTTACACATGCAAGCGCATGTACGCACATGCACGTGTGCACACACCTGCAAAGGGAACTAAACTGTTGGTCACGGGGATCAAAAAGCTGCATGGAGAGACATTTATCATTCCTGAGTGATTAACATAATCACTCAGTGGCTTGCCGGACTTCACATGACACATTCTCTAGCAGTACAGATTGTGAGCCACCACGTGCTTGCTGGGAATTGAACTCAGGACTCCTGGAAGAACCGCTGAACCTCCTCTCCAGCCCCTCTCTAGAATCTCTAAGATAAGTGTGCTCTCTCTCTCTCTGTCCACCCCGTGTGTGTGTGTGTGTGTGTGTGTGTGTGTGTGTGTGTGTGTGTGTACACACAAGAGAGAGAGAGCACCCAAAGTGCCACTTTTGCAAATGTCAAGAACAAAACAAGTAGGCGTGTTTAGCCAGGTACAATGGTGCATGCCTGTAATCCCAGCACTCAGGGAAGCAGAAGCAGGTGGATCTCCGAGTTCGAGGCCAGCCTGGTCTACAAAATCAGTTCAGAACAGTCAAGGCTACACAAGAAACCCTGTCTTGGAAAACAAAAAAAAACAGTAGACACTTTTACAGGCCCAAGGGATGAGAGGGAATTTGATCGAAAGTATCAAGTCCAGGGCTTTATGGCCATTGTTTTGTGCCCTGTAGAGGCAGGAGATCTGAGTGTCTTTGTAAGGCTGGAGCTCCATGTAGAGCCCTCCCTACCTTGAAGACTTGGCTTGGTAACTTGAGAACCTTGGACACTTAACTTTTAATCGGTAATCAATCACTCTTAACTTTTATTGTCTTTCTGGAGTGTATTGACTAGCCCCAACCGCATCCTTTATGAAACCTGATGCATTTCTCAAACCTGATCTATTTCTCTCCACGATCATCCCCTTTCCCAGGCATAAGTGAATGTTTTAACAAAGTAAAGTGGTGATTGACACTCAGCAGCCCTGCTTCCTGCTGCTGTGGGATCCTGGCTGTTGGTGAAGCTACAGGTGATTGTGCTTTTAAAATCTGTTGCCCCAGCACTTTAAAAAACAAAACAAACAAACAAACAAACAAACAAAAAAGACCATTATTTTAGGTCTATGGGTGTTTTGCCTGAATGTATATCTGTGTACCACATGCATGCCTACTTAGGCCAGAAGAGGGCATCAGAACCCCTGGAACTGAAGTTACAGAGGGTTGTGAGTCACCTTGTGGGTGCTGGGCAGTCCTGGAAAGGACTGATCAGGCACCAAAGGTTCAGCTGAACTTGGAGTTAGCTCCTGGACAAGTCCCTCATCACCCCCCCAACTCCCCTGTGAGACAGGGTTTCTCTTTGTGGCCCTAGCTGTCCTGGACTTGCTTTGGAGGCCAGGCTGGCCTTGAACTCACAGAGACCCTCCTGCCTCTGCCTCCTGAGTGCTGGGATTAAAGGTGTGTGCCACCATGCCTGGCACTGAGAGTAGGCTCTAAAAGGACACCTCAGCCTCTACTGCAGGAGAGAAATTCCTCCATAAGACATCTTCTCTGGGGGGAGCAGCTTTACCAGGCTGCTGAGAAAGACAATGCAGCCAGTCCTGATGAGACCTGATAGGCTAGGGTCAGATAGAAGGGGAGGAGGGCCTCCCTATCAGTGGACTGGGGGAGGGGCATGGGAGGACAAAAGGGAGGAAAGGTGGGATGGGAGGGGTTGAGGGAGGAGGCTATAGGTGGGATACAAAGTAAATAAATTGTAATTAAAAATTAATTTTTAAAAAAGACATCTTCTCACCCTACTTAGCTCAGCATGAATGTCTCACAATTTGACTCCCTGTCACCTGTTGAAGAGAAACCACACACAATGGTATACACCTAAGGCTTTTCTGATACTTGGCATGAAGATTGTGCAGTGAGTGTTGTGGTTTATTTTGAAACTGTACTTTATCTGTCTTCACTCACTAGACTGAATTCCTTGAGGGAATTCCAAGACTTTGCATCACAAATATATGATGAGTCCTGGCATTTGCTAATGAATGATCACAGAAAATAATAAATGAAGTGGGGAACATTTCCAGGTTTCCTCTTCAGCCATGTTTAAGCAGCAAGCATTGGGGCTGGAGAGATGGCTGAGAACCCAGGTTTCATTCCCAGTGCCCACATGACAGCTCTAACTCCTGGTGCCCTTTTCCGGCCTCTGCGGGTGTCAGGCCCACACATGGTGAACGTACACATGTACATGGTAGACTTTTCCAAGAAACTTTCTATTTCAGAAATCTGAAAATGGAGAGCTGGCTCAGGGAACACTTGTTGCTCTCTCAGAGGAGTTGGGGTCTCTTCCCAGCATCCACATGGTGGCTTGCAGCCATCTCTAACTCCAGCTCCAGGGACCTGATACAAAAATAAAAAAAAAAATTTTTTTTAGGAAATCTGAAGCTGGGCATGGTGGCAGGTGGGTCTTGTGAGTGTGAGGCCACCCTAGTCCACAGAGTGAGTTCCAGGACAGTCATGGCTACACAGAGAAACCCTGTCTAGAAAAAAAAGGATTTTTTAAAAGAAAGAAATCTGAAAATGTGTATATATTTTCCACTCAAAGCTCTGGTTCCTCTGCTAGAGCTCTCGACTTTGTTCTGGAATGGAATTTTCCTGGTTTCATAGAAATGCCCACAAGAGGGCAGTAGGAACCAGAGCACTAAGCCTGGGAATCATAGTTTCCTGCTGCTGCCCTGGTTTCACCGCTCCCTTGGGCTGTGAGTTCCTTGAGGAAAGACTGTCCTCAAGACTTTGTATTACAAATGTATGGCGAGTCCTGATATTTGGTAAATGAATGAGCACAGAGATGAATAATAAATAAACCTTGCAGTTGGTGATTCTTATGGCAAGCCGGAGTGAGTTGCAGCCGTTTTGAGCAATAAGGCCCTTGGCACTGGGATTTCTCTAGAGCACTAGGTGATCAAGCCAGGCGCCTGGGCTCCTTGTTCCTAAATATCAGATCCCGTCTGAACAACAATTCCAGCAAGCTCCTGACTTTGTAAGCCTAGAAATAAAATAGAGCACAGGAACGGACAGTATCAAGTCTCTGGACTCTCCATCGTCTCCTGCTCCACGAGCATGTTCTAAATGCTGGCCGTCTTTGCACTGACCTCTTGTCCTGGGTAGTTGTACATTAGCTTGACATTAAAGCACCTGGAATGAGGAACCTAGGTTGAGAAAATGCCCCTGTTAGATGGCCTGTGGGCAGGACTGTGATGCATTTTCTCGACTGATGATTGA